TTTATATTAAGAAATTATTATTATAAAAGAAATTCAATTTTGTGGCACTTTCATATTCTTTTCGGCACAATTTTTGAATACAATTAGGCACATTTTGAAATTTTGAAATTCCATCGCTGCTTGTACCTCACACGAATCATGCATGCATGTACGTACATACACACGCATCACGCTTTAGTGTCGATATGAAAAACATTTTCGTTACCGCACAATATGTTGTGTTGTATTGATTCAAGTTGATGGTGCATATACGGAACATGCGAGTAACGAGATTATTATGTGAGTAACGATTCGGTACTTCGAGTCAGGGGTTACTGAGTAACGAATACATACGGTTTGCTACAGCTCTAATGTATTAGTAGACCGAACAGCGTGCGTTCATATATGTAGCTATAAGTGGCATCGATATCTTCGCGAACGTTCACTGCGGTCTAAGGATGGGCGATGACGAGAAATCATCGATTTTATCATCGATGATGACATCGGAAGGTCGACATCGATCCTCGATTTTCATCGACCAAGAACCTTCGATTATACACAATATCGATATAATTTTCAAATAGGTGGTTTGTTTCCGTGCTAATCAGAAAGAGTTTTATTAGAAGCGTTCGCGCACTTTTTAGCATAATTTGCGCTCATGCATTACTTCTTCAAAATTATGCAACTCACCATTGCAAGGCATTGTATTTTTTTGGTGGACTAATTTGTAATGGTCGCTCCATATACCAAACTGCTCAGTTAAATTATGTTGGTTCCCATCTTCAGCTGTACGATTTTCTTCAGTGTCATCTAACTCTGCACCATTAAGTAGCTCTTTGACAATTTGCATGGCTTTTGAGCATGACACGTCCTGGAAATGAATGTTCTTGAACCTGGGGTCGAGAAGTGTATCAGCAGCGAGAATGTGGACGTGTTCTGCCGGCAGTAAACGTTTTACTATTTCGGACAACAAATTTTGTTTTAGGCTCTCTCCCATCGTGTTCCGTGTCTCATTGCGGTTGATTTTTTAGCCTAGCATTCTTGTTAAAGGAATCACATTACTGCTGCTGATAAAACTTTCTGCGCACGCTTCGCGAGTTGCGACTTCTATTGGACGCAAAATCTCACAAATCTCCGTAAGTTCTTCTATTTCTTTAGCTGTTATCATTGGAGGAGCACTGGAATGGCAGTTTAGAATTTGGTTAATAGCTGGACGTAATTTTCAAAACCGTCCAATCATATAAAAAGTAGCGAGTAGCAACGTCTTGCATCAGTTTCAAATCGGATTGCTTTTGCAATTCATCACTCGCGGCAATAGAGTGCTTAAACCACGTAATATTTTTTTTT